TTGAAAGGTTGACGCCAACTGACTTGACCCCTCGTGTCCTGTGGCCCAGAGCCCACACATTTTCAAGTTCTGGCCTTAGAACCACAGAGCTGGTGGAGTGGGAGGGCGTGGCCTCCGGCCTGGTGGGCGTCAGCACCAGCGTTCTCACCTCCAAGTCTCTCACCTGTCCCCTCGGTGACAGACCCACGATGTGCGGTTTGAACGGCTCCTTGAGGGGGCCACCTCACAGGGACCCGGTGACCTGCCTTGCGGGGCCTTTCTGGCCGTGCTGTGCCCAGTTGTCTCACTTGTCATAAGGGGACAGAAGTGGCCCTGTTAAGCTGCTACTTCCTGTCCACCACGGGCTGGGGTGAGGAATCGCAGAAACAAGCTTCTAGACCAGATGGGACAGGTCGATGCTCATCCCCTCTGGAGCAGAGAAGGTTCCCGATGACCTGGGGCTGGTGATGGCCCTGCGGCCACAGGGCCATTCTCCCCAGAGAGAATTTGCATCCTGAAGAAATGCTCGTCTACCTGGTTTTCTCTAAGTGTGGTGTGGTGCTGGATGCTGCTTTGTGTGTGTGTGTGTGTGTGTGTGTGTTTTAGGAGTAGTTACTCTTTTTATCATGGGGATAAAAGCTGTAATTTTTAAAGTTACAGTGAGAGCAAACCCTGCTCCAGGAGGGTGGGCCTGGGGGGAGAATGGTGAGCATGTCCCTTGGAGACCTCTGGCCACAGAAGTATCAGTAACCGGAACCCGGGGGCCCTATGTAGCTGGTGCAGTGCGCGCCTAGGTCGTCGTGGTTTTGGGGCTGAGCTGTTCTCCGCTCCAGGTGCTGGTGGTGGATCAGCTGAGCATGCGGATGCTCTCGTCCTGCTGCAAGATGACGGACATCATGACAGAGGGGATCACAAGTGAGCGCCCGCCCGCCCCCTCCCTGTCACCTCTTTGGATTTAGAGCCCCAGCACCCTGGGTGGTGGACAGTGAGTTCCCAGAGACCAAGCTTCTTGGTCACCGCAGACCCACCCAACAGCGGGAACGGGCAAAAGCCGCAACAGCTCTTCACAGGAGGAAATCCAAAGGCCACCAGATGCATGACAAGTTGCCCGGCTTCGTCAGGCATCAGGGAATGTTATCATTTCCCAGTGACAGGTTTGCTAAGGTGTTTACCCACCGGCTCGTGCTCACTAGCCAGCGTGTCGCACCTGCGGCCAGACCGCACCTCCTGCTTGCGTCCGGAGCTTGCTTTCTGCTGTGGGCAGCTCCAGGCCCCCCAGCACTTTCCAGGGGGTCGTGGAATTAACCTCTGAATTAGCACGATTGGAAAGCGAGCTCTCTCGCGGCATTATTTCAAAGAAGGACGTGATCCTGTTTTTCCTCGTTAAAACCCCTTGGTGGGACAGACCTGCCTGCATGCTTGTCCCACTGCTCCCCCATGTGC